GTTTACGTTTCCGCGTCTAACTCACAAACGGTTAATGATAGAAAGGCGAATTAAGCGCCTATCTACGCCTAAATATATTGCCTTTTAAAAAGGTTATTACAACCTTTCTTCTATCTCTTATACTTTAGGCGCTAATCAACATTTATTGCAAATAATAAAATTTAGAAATACTTAAAAATGAAATATCGGAAATATTGCGCTTGTTTAGGGCATGTTACAAACTATTTATGGTTAGAAAAACTAACAAGTAGTACAACAACACCAAGTTCAAAAAAATCCGTGCAAAAACAACAGAGCTACGTTGATTTCAGTAAGAGTAAACGTGGAAAATTCGTAGTAGTACCGAGGCGCGCATGGACGGTACGTAGCCACAGTCGATATAGGTTTGATGTTGTAAGTAACTATGGGAAAGCTGAATTTTTCTATGCTGTTAGACCATGTTGAGATGAGCATTTTCCCAAAAGTCCCCACTCCTACCCCTTTGTGCTTTCCTCTACCCCCCCCCCTTTTAGATAAATTTACAGTCTCTTAGAAATTAAGTTATAACTTTAAAACGGGTAAGGATAATAACGCAATCTTTTATTAATCATTTTGCGTTACGATAATCTACAAAAAGAATTATTAGATGAATAAATGATGAAGAAGATAGATGATGAAGAAGAAGAAAATGCGTTCATTGTAATAAAATATCAATACGGTGTTTTTTATTTGAATGCAAAGAACAATGGTCAAAGACCGTCTGTTTTGTGTTAGACACACTGATTTTAAAATATTTTAAAACCGTTTAAAAAAATGCCATGAATCACATACAATTATTCATAAAATAATCTGATTTCCACTACAGAACATACACAAATAGCACTACATACTAATAAAGATCAGATAACAATTAAATGAATAATAAAATTTAAATGTAGCCTACTGAGAATCTGAATTTTTCCTACAAACAGTTAATAATTCATAAAACAAACCTGTTACTTTTATAATTTACTTTGATAGATATTAATTACAAATTAGTAATTACAAACAATATTTTAAAATTTTTTTAAATTACATAGATTTTTCCAATTTTTGTATCGATATCTCAATTCTTAAATTTAATAATTATACTCCATTATCAATTCCCACCCTTTACTCCACGCCTCTTTAAGATAATTTCCAAGTGCCCGCCAATCTTTGCCATTTAAAAATTCAAAAAAACTCATATTCATTTAAATATAACTTGTTAGACCAAAATTGACGTATCTTTTTTTAAATTGGAGATTCTGCTATAAAAGGGTACACGTTTCATCCCGGTTGAGATTACATAGTGAACATACACAAATTTTATTTTCCATGTAGAGTTAACTTTTTATTAGACGACCCCTTTTAATTGTAAAAAATGTTTTTAGGGATGATTACGAATAAAAAATATACATCCACAATTTTACAATATGGCCAACAACTTTGTTATTTCTTATGGAATACGCTGTATTTTAGTATTCTTTTAGAATTTAAAAGCTATTTTCTTATTCGTGACATTTTTTCTCTAAACCTACCCCATTTAGGAGTTACAGCGTGTTATATCTAAAAGAAAGGCTTGTGGTGTACATTCGGCATCCTGTAGCTCATAAACGAGTAAGTTGAGAGAGAAAGTGCAAAGAATAAGTCACATATAAGTCCTCGTTCAAAAAAATATATAAAATACGTTAAAAAATACTGATTTTGTTGTTTTAAAAATGGCCACCATTTTCAAAAGTGCTAGCTTACTTTGATATTGGAACAATTTATTTTATGGTTTTTTTAAATGTAGGTGTGATTTGAAAACTTGTTTATTCTTTGTATTTCCGCTCTTAAACTTACGTTTATGAGCTGTGAGGATGCAGGATGTACTCACAAACCATTTCTTTTTCGATGTAACTCCTAAACAAGTAGCTTTAGAGAAAAATGTCAAGAATAAAAAGGTTTAAAAGTTGTGCGTTTACATTCTAAAACAATCATAAAATACAGTGTATTCCATAGGACTAACAAAGTTGTCAGCCATATTGGAAAATGGCGAACATATTTTTAAAATTCGAAACCACAAAAAAAAACATCTTAAAATAAAGGGTAGTGTCCCATAAGAAGTTAACTCTATATCTCATAATAAAAAAGTTATCTATTGGTTCACTTTAGATGAGACACCCTGTATAATAAAATGAGGCTCTGGCGTACAGCAGCAAATGCACGATATTCATTCATATGTATCCACTACAGTCTGTATATGTACTGAATGAGCTACATAACGTTAATATAATCTATATAAAGCGGCAAATTCAAATACAAAAACCATAATATACGTAATTTTTTTCATTGTTGCGGTGCACAAAAAAGCCTGAGTCCTGTAAAATCGATTATACTGTACTATCTATTACTACTATATGCAAACAAACTGTTAATAACTATGTATCATTTTAAAATGTAAACTATGCACCCCAAATTTTGTATCAAACATTTTGTTGTGCGACCTCGTATAAAAAATCTACAAAGAAAAGTTTCATAAATTAATCCGTAAAAAATATTTTTTTATGTTTATGATATTTTTTAACTATGAATATTTAGGACACCATGGTAAACACTTTTTGTACAATATCGTAACGCAAAATGATTAATAAAAGATTGCGTTATTATCCTTACCCGTTTTAAAGTTATAGCTTAATTTCTAAGAGACTGTAAAATTATCTAAAAGGGGGGGGGTAGAGGAAAGCACAAAGGGGTAGGAGTGGGGACTTTTGGGAAAATGCTCATCTCAACATGGTCTAACAGCATAGAAAAATTCAGCTTTCCCATAGTTACTTACAACATCAAACCTATATCGACTGTGGGCTACGTACCCGTCCATGCGCGCCTCGGTACTACTACGAATTTTCCACGTTTACTCTTACTGAAATCAACGTAGCTCTGTTGTTTTTGCACGGATTTTTTTGAACTTGGTGTTGTTGTACTACTTGTTAGTTTTTCTAACCATAAATAGTTTGTAACATGCCCTAAACAAGCGCAATATTTCCGATATTTCATTTTTAAGTATTTTTAAATTTTATTATTTGCAATAAATGTTGATTAGCGCCTAAAGTATAAGAGATAGAAGAAAGGTTGTAATAACTTTTTTAAAAGACAATATATGTAGGCGTAGATAGACGCTTAATTCACCTTTCTATCATTAACCGTTTGTGAGTTAGACGCGGAAACGTAAACCGATGACCCGCGCAACTTCCCCCCCTCCCCCCCGAGTTGTGACCACCCTAGAAATGCGACATCATCGATTTTTTTCATCTACTACATGTCCCCAACAATAATCAAAAGTCAAATTTTGTCAGACTTTCAGTGCATACTCAACCCGTTTAGCGCCTGGACTAAAACATGTGATTGGAATTTCTTCCATTTGTTTTGATTTTCTGTTTATATTTCGTTGTTATTTTATCCCCAGCATGGCAACCCATAAAGTCCATGTCAATTTATTTTTATTTTGAATTCATTTTTTTGTGCTTATTTTTGAGCCTATTTTAATGTATAAAAACACATCTAATTCTGCACATCTACAGGAAAATATTTTTCTAACAGTCTGCGAAGATTTTCCCTGCGATGCTTACGAGCTGAGAAAAAAATTTTTTCAAGAAACATGCTTGCCTATTGATATACAGTATAAATTGATGTGGTTTTAGGGTGAATAAAACCATTGCTATGGATAGAACTTTAAGTTAATGTAGATGAATTTCACTTATTACTTAAAGTGCTGATACTAGTTACTAATTTCTGTTGTGTACACAATTTTTTATGTGTAAGCTATTGCATCTTATAAATCGTATAAACTAGTGTCAAAAGCAAAGACTGTATAATACAGTCAAGTATAACCATGTACATGGGTTATATCTTTGACTCATGATATAACTATAAGGGTTATATGGATATATCCAATAGTCAAAGGTTATATACTGTTAAAATTGTAATGGTATAATTGAGTGAGGTGTCTCGTGTTATTTGGTTACTAAGACCAAGTCCAGACGATTCTACCTTAGTAACTAAAACTTGTTCTTGAAGTGAGATTGCCTGATGACCTGTTTAGCTCTGATACTGACAAAACTAATCTAAATATAAGTTAGTATCATTTAGTAAAAGCTCAATTATCAAAGACAACTGGATGACGGTTTACAGATTTAATCTTTATCATGTAAACTAACTACGAGGCTATAAATACCTATATATAATCCACATCAAACTATGTCAAACAACGTATTATACACCAGAGTGAGGGAATTCAAATTTGAAGAGTTAAAACCTTGAAAGCATACTGACGTACCACAAATGCACAAACTAGCACACTAAATATAGTCCAGGCTATTTGTGTTGCGTTTCTAAAACAATCCGACATGTACTAGCCCAGGGCAATTCGCCAATAATTAAAGTCATAACAAAATCTAAACCGTGGTAACATCACTGACCAAATGTAGGATTGGTTCTTGGTCCAATTGCCATTTGTCATTGGGTTTTTAATTACAGTTGCTCTCTGTCAACAGGTTGACATTAGGTAGCAATATGTATCAAAAGGTTGGGACCATTCCATTGCAAAACCATTGTTAAGCGTCTGACATTGATACACCCAAATTTGAATATGGTCGATAGAGATTTAAACAACTAATTATGTTGTACAAAAGAAATTAACCAACGAACATGGCTACTGTAAGTTGTACGTATGGATATTTGCAACGACAAACTCCAATTTTAAATCTCTAGCACAGCTTGTACTACAAAACACTCATAACGGTTATAAATACGTCCTTATGGTCAATCTTAGTCAAACATCAATACAACTACAAAACAGCATCTAACTATGAACGCATAGTTTTTGTATGCTATATTTGACAAATAAAAAGATCGTTCTACACAGAAAATTACCCCATAAACCTAACAGCATTCAATAATAGGACATCGAAAACAACATCGAATACATCGCTGTCTAAACACCAATGAACACTTTACTTTACCCACGATACCCATCGTAATCCTGTCTAAGCTTCATCTAGCACAAGCAGGCTTACATCTGAGGAAGGTAGGTTGGTCGATGCTAGCACATGTAGACCACTGGTACGCGAGCTAGCACGGGAGTCAAGCCCGGACTGGGGCGCCAAGCCGCGGACCAGCCTTGAAACACACCCCCGCCTCCCAAACCCACCCCACGGTCGAACCCACTACAGGATGGTACGGCGGAGAATTACGGCCGAATTACGTTCATTTCGGCCCTATTGCTGATGTAGGTATTTCACTTAAATCTAATAGGATAACAAGTTCGGTTAGGTTATGTTTTAAGTTCCTTAGATTTTATAACCTACCCTAAGGGTGGGTTGTGTACTATATGATCTACCTGTAAGGGAGGTTTTGGAATAATTTAACATAATCAAACTAACGTAACCTTTATTTATGTTAAGCTTATTGAAGACTAAAAAAATAAAAGTATCGTTTGTCCTTTAGTTGGGAAAGTTTTTCGACGAAGAGAAATTTCTTCCTTGAGAGACCTCCGATGTTTCGTTTTCTAGTGTTGATGGTGATGGCTGCGGACTTGGAATCACCCCGTAACGGTCCTTCATCTCATTAGAGCCTTTGAAAGGATTTGAATCCAGAACACTAGATATAACACGCAGCCTTTGGTATATTTAATTCAGATATATCAAATTAATAGAGCATTCGTGGTACAATCATCATATCTGTTGTTTATTCAATTCTAAGTTTAAGTTTGATAAAATGTCAAAAAGATTTGTATATAATTAAAATATTATAAATTTGCTAAGCAAAGATCTTACATGCGTCACAATATGAAGGTAATTAGAAAATAAGTGAAAATTGTGAGAGTAGAATTGTAAAATGTGGCATATTTTGTAATAAGTAGGTTTCTATCCTACGATCTATACATTGACTAAACTTAATTGCCTTCACCAAAACTTGTTCAGCGGTTTCCACTGTGTTGGCCCTTTCGACGTTTTATCCATATCCATTAAATTAAACTTTGTTTAAATTGTAAAACTTAGGCTACAATCACCAATATAAAAATTTTAACATGTCCCTTATTTTATCATAAACATTAAACTTAAAACAACCTGTCCTGACTTGAAAATATTTTCCGTAGAGCATTCCTATAACACTAAGGTGATAACAATAACAAATACGAAATCTTCCTTGGATTCGTGCTTTTCTGCACTCTAAAAATATCCAAAACGATACAGCTAAGTTTGCACCAAAAATTTTAGTATTGAAATAAGAATCTACTACCAACTCGAGGAGAAGAACTTAATAACGGATAACCACAACATGGCCACCTTTAACTACAGGCCGCGGCCTGGTAGAATTGGCAACGTCGCAAGTAGGGTTGTTATTGTCAGACGTCCCATAAGATAACATGGCAGATAGGTGACATCAGCTCATTAATTCGTACATTATTGATTTAACTTTAAATTTATGAACATACATTTATTAAAATATTGAAAATAAAACATACAGAATTGAAAACCAAAACAATATGAATTGAAAATCTATGTCTGTACATTTAAAGCCGGGTCAATATTTTCATAGTCCAGTAACCAAGCTTTCGTAAATACACAAATACCATTAGCTGCTTCCAAACAAAACAGCTGTTACAACCCTACTGTCCCTACTTGTGACGTTGCCACTTCGAAGGCCGCGGCCTGAAGTTAAAGGCGGCCGTGACCAGAATGAACATCGAGAGGTCCATTGGTCCATTCATCATTATGATGTTACATCATTACATATGTGAATGTCCCGTACGACGGGACTTTGCATAGACATAGGCATTCATAAAGTGCATATGATTAAGCACAAGATAATATGCATATGAGTAAGTACAATATTTAAGCACTTTAAATTTGCAAGTTGATTGCAAACGTTTACGTTGACAATCAACCATTACTCTGCATCATGATTCGTAATTTCGATTTTTTTTATGTAGTCTTTAAACTTTTATTTTATTGTGTGTTTATTTAGTTATTACTTTTTAAATTTATTTTTCGTAAAGGTGTTCAGTTTTACTAACTCCACTCACATATCCATATCCATCCAACCCTGTCTACTAAACAGTTACACCAACCATGTATCAAGATCTCAGGGATGATTCATTTATCCGCTCCACAGGTGTGGGCGAGTATCGATCCCCAGTTGCGACTCCGGCCGCCAGGAGCGCTAGCTTCGCGTCGTCCGCTAGCATGTCCGCAACTCTATACACCCTAGCTTCACAGATCACAGGTAAATACACGATATTTAGAAATTCCTCTAACATCTGCTGTTACTCATTAGCCAAACGTAGCAACAATTGATATTTCTAAACTCAGTGTTGTCGGTTGAGCGGTTTGTTGTCTAGTTTGTTGTCAGCGGAGGTTTGTGATTTTTTTGTGCTCGCCGGACCCAGCTCATGTGATAAGGATGATAGCCCACGTGCGTGTGTGTGTTTGTGTGCGTTTGTGCGTGGGTCACGTGCTAGATGACGTCATAGACCGCGGTTTACCCGGGTAATGCGGTTGTTGCGCCAGCGCCGCTCACCTGTGTTTACAAATGGATTGTTTTTGTTTGAAACCCTAGAGTTAAAAGCATAAAATGTTTAGAACTTTTCGTATTGAATGGCTAGGATAACAATATTTTAGTAATCCTTTGCCTTATTATACTAATTAATGCTGGTAGTTAAGGTTACACAGGCCTCTTAACAAAGCTAGGGCTCTCTTAATTTTGTTTCACAATGATATTTGCACTTAAGCTTTCTAAGTTACCTCATACTAAATCATATTCTAAAATGTATCTCCTATGTTTGGATTTGGCGTACCATTGACAAATGTAGTTTCTTTTACAAATGCGGAAACTCCTGCGAAAGCTGTGCTCCAGAGGAATTTTGTTTTGGAACTTGTTCCAACTCTACTCTTACAATCAACTATTTACTAATTAGTAACTACAAACAGTAAGAAACAAGGATTCAATAATAATCGTATATTTCTTTTTAAATCACACCCTATTGGTCAAGTCCTTGCCGGGTACCTTGTTATCTATAACAATATCTCACTCTGGAATGTATATATTTAATGTAAGCTCAGATATAAAACTACGACTTTAAAATTATTAAGTACTAGAATGCCACTAGTGTAACCGTTGCTCGTAATCGAGCAATTGCTAGTTAGCTTAGCAACTGTGAATACTAACTATGTTATGACGATTAATAGATTGACTTCACTTGTCGTATTATGTCAAACAAATAGGTCAGCATGTATTTTGGTATACCTTTCGTAAGATTTGTAACAACTGTAACGATCCTTTACTGTTTACGTGTATACTCAATGCTGGTATTGACAATTTGTATAAAGTTCATAACTTTTCAAATCTTTTAAACGTTTTATATTGAGATCGAAATCACGATAACGTAAATACAAATCTAATACAGGCCTACTTTGCATTTTGAACGCTATAACCGAGGTCTTTGGTTTTTGTTATTGTGTCATTTTTTTAGTTTTAACAAGCTGTACCCCTAAACTAGTAGATTTAGAGAAAAAATGCCAAGAAAAGGAAAAAACTTTTTAAAATTGTATTTCATTCCCAAAATATCATAAAATATAGGGTCTTCCGTAAGTAAACTCTAAGTTTGTGGCCATATTGGAAAAATGATGACTACAATATTTTTTTTCAAATGGACTAAAATTGTTAGATAAAAAAATCCAAGGCAGTTACAATTAATTTAACATTTTTTATATCTCTTATAACTTTCGAATAAAACAGCTGGCACAATTATATCAATCACGACGTATACTGTAGTACTCGTTTGCTTTAAATTTATAGTCTTTATGTCTCTTCCTTTATTGGCTTTCTTGTAAGTCATTTGTATACCTTATAAATAATTGTTCTCATTAGTTGTAGATACTGCACAATCGTAAATATTTTTGAGCTAGAATAAAATCAAAACATTAATAAAATAACTCGTAATTAATAATTTGAATATTATGTCTGCATTACCTCTTAAAACCTATTCCCAACAGCACGATTTTACTATTATTATAATTTTTCATAAAACCATTTTTCCCAGCTATAGTTTTTTTAGTCAGAGACAGCTTAAGGACTAGGACAATCTAAAGATATCAGTTAAGTTTTTATGTATGATATTTTTATTTCCGATATCGGACTCTGTCCGACCCTTATTTTTGCATAATGTAAATGAATCACAATATATTTATTAAATTATCAGTTGTGCGTTTACCAAAGCATTACTAAAACACCATCGACAATGGTTTTATTACGATTTTAAATTATACCGTTGCTCCCAAATCCATTTCATAAACTGTCCTTAAACATAAACAAAAACATAGTTTTTATTTCTGACGAGTACTAGTTTTGTGTTTTCAACGTATTCAAGTATGGTATCTGTGTAAACTATTGAAAACTAAACCATATAAGTTTTTCTGTAATACTATATTGTTTACAATTGCTTAATAACAAAGTAAGTACAGTAAGGAGTAAGGACAATTTATATGATGTGCAAAGGGCTTACAGCAAATGTCAATAGAGGAAGACATAAAGGCTAAACATTTTCAACATAAGAGTACAGTTTATGGTCAATAGTGTCGTGCTATGATTTGGAGTGATTGCATTAACTTTTAAATTGCATTTATTTTAAAGACAGCTAAAAGATACCCAGCCTAGCAAAGACCATTGTTTCTTACATCAATTGTTTCAACAATGGTTACATCTTTATATAAGTCGAATTTTTTTAGCAACAGTTTTAAAGTATTGTATGTAAAACAAACATGTTGTAGAGTATTATAAGCATTGCTTAGATACGTACTCTAACCTATATTCAGCAATAGATCTGCACACGTTTTAAATGCATATATATATATATATATATATATATATATATGCAAGAATGCAAGATTCTACAGTTGTTCTGAATAGTTTACCATAAATGTATTTACCAAAATTAGTGCATAAATTAAGCATTATGCCAATACCTTTACTCTTTGTTTTACAACAAATATTATATTATGAATTTTACCTATTGAATCATACCATATACGGTCATGAACTCTTACGTGATTTTATTAAAATTGCCTCTTTT